ACAGTGAAAATTAATAGGAGAATGACATTTAAGGCCTTCAAGGGAATTTATTTTAATAAGAATCCATCAGTTTTGCATTCGATATTGTTTTAATGAAAACATGCATGTGTTGTTAAAAACTGAACTTACTTATTAAATTTCTAAAGAAACCCTAACAAAAAATACAAGTTAAGGTTAAGCTTTTAATAACATTTACATGTTTTTGAAATTAACTGTGATCTTCAAATGGGCTCCAAATAATAATTTTGACCTAATTACCCTTCTACTCTAATTTATAAGATCATACTCATTGGTTCTTCAATAACTTTACAAAATTTAATATATTTACAACTCATTTTTTTAAAAACCCTCTTGTCTATCTTTAACTTCTAGCTTAATTGATAGCTTTTCCATCCTTTCTCCCTTCCCTAATAACTACTCTATCAATCAAAGGGGGTGGTTTTGAAATGTTGTAAATTAAACGTTTTTGCAGGCATTTGACTAATTGTAACTAATTTTTTAATCTCATGAAAATAGTTGATAAGGGCTAGCTTCTTATAGTAAAGACATAATAAGTATTGGAATTCAAATTGTGAATTCTAATCTGTTCAACTCTTCAATGAAAAAAGTGGAATCAAAATTTCTTCTGACCCAAACTTCAATCTCAATCCCAAATAGGTTATCAAATAGCTTCAAAATAATTACCTTGATTGTCAGAATTGAAAAAGATTGGCTGGTCCGATTGATAACTAGCCTTTAGTCTAGTTCAGCCAACCATAATAACCAGAGAAAAAGTGAATTAACCAAGACACAAAGTTGATCAAAACCAATAATGAAAATCATAAAACTGATCAAGAATTAATATTTCCTTTTTTAAATAAAATCTCAATAGCCCAAAACAATACTATTTTATGTTTTTATATGTCTTGTGATTGGTTTGTCTCTATTGTTATACACACACACATATATATATGATGAGGATGATTCAATGGTAATTTTTATTAATTATGAAAGCTTGTGTTAGTTTGGTTATGCAATTAATGTGACATACACTCCCTCCGTTTTTAAATATAAACAAATTGTAACCCACTATCATAGTTTTAGAAAGTTAGTTAATCATAATAATTATATATGAAATTGAAAAGTTTAGACTAAATCTTGGTAATTTGAGATGAAAAAAATAGTATTTTATTATAATGTTGGTGGGATTAACCATAAACTTGCCATGTATTATAAGAAGTATGAATAAACATTATCTTATATTTGTTCATAAAAAATTATCTTAAATATTTTTATTTTGCATACATATTCTTTAAATTTATATTATTTGAATTAAAATCAATCGTACCATGCACCATTCAATACCCTAACCAATTGACTACTTGCTTGGTTCTTCAACATTGAAAATAACTATTATGACCCTTGAAACTTTTTCAAATACATTTGTGATGATATAGGAATTTGCTAGTTGCAACATTATATAAAGGCCTGAGAACTCCCAGCCATGCTGTCTACATTCTACACCAAAGAGAAATAAACCCTAAGCAATTAAGATGTTTGCCAAATTGTTATTAGTTTTGCTTTTGGTTTTTGTTGAGTTATTTCTGATCCCAGCAACCTCTCTTGCTCATGTGAAGCCTTCAATCAACCAACACAAATGGCCTCTATTTGTCGGAACATTGACACTGCATAGGGATTTCAAACAACCACCTCTTCGACCATTGCCAATAAACAACTCTCCGCCAAGAGTCAAGCCATTAAGCACTCTAGAGAATGAGTCTAAAACTACAGCACATGATCAGGTTCCACCAAAATACAAGTCCCCTCTAAAGAACGAGGCACCCACTGCTAATTAGCTGGTGATCATGTTCATCACCATAAACCTAAATAAAGCTTATATTATATGTGTGTATGTTGGAATAAGAGTGCTTTCCACTTATGTGTAAATGTAATTCTCCTTTTAGGGGTTCATGAATAAGTACTGCGTACACGTGTGTGTGTGTACCCTCTGTGTTATGAAATTATTGTTGTTTAAGAAATTCAAAGCCAATTGATCCCCTTTTTTTCTGAATTATTATACTCTCTTTTACTATGTTCGATTCTATATATAAATCATTGTTAACTACTACACCGGGTTAAAAAAAAAGTAGTTAAACTGTTGATTTTTTTGGGGAAAACAAGAAAGAAATTGACTAATAGAAAGGGTAAAATTGAAAATAATAATAATTAAAAGTCTATCTTTTTATTCAAAGAGATTAATAATAAAGAGCATCAATTTTTCTAGGAATGTGACTTATATATATATATATATAGGACTAGAGAGAGTGCCAATTATCTGGCCCCTTCCCCTTCTGCACCTCTATTCTAGAAAATATGCATAGGACCATTTATATTTGTATTAAATCAATTTATTATGTTGATTTCGCTCCATTCTTAATGTTTCTTGTTGTTTGGCCACCAATAAAATTGTCCTTTACTTGAAAAAGCTATGTTGAGTGTAGAATTTAAGCTTAATCATGTGAGAACTTGATCTTAAAAATCTGTACGCATATATATTATATCAATGTGGACCAAAATTTCAACAAAATTTATTGTTATCATGCAAATATTGGGCTCCAAACAATAAGGTATGAGTTAAGAAGAATGACAAGTAAGGACCTCATAAGAAGATTGATCTCAGATCAAGATTTTTAATACTAAAACATAGAAGAAATAGTACTGAACTTATAAACTTTAATTGTGAAACAATCCCAATTTGACATTAATTTTCTTTTGAGATCCTTACTTATCATTTCCCCTTAATTAGAATTATTTATTCCTTTTGGTCCTATTTACAATGTCATATCCATTGATTCTTAAAACAATAACCCTTACAAAATTTAATAAAGCATTTATAACTCATTTTAAAAAATGTCCTTTCTTATAAACGTCCAAACTCCACAACTTGAGTAATCAATAAATATTTTTATAAGCACTCTTTGAGCCTAAAGGCATGCTCTAGTGTTGGTAAACTTTCAAAACTGAGCTCACTTAAATTTTTTGTCACAAAAACAAAAATGTCCTTGTCTTTTTAACTCTTAGCTTAATAGATAGCTTTTCCATCATTTCTTCCTTCCCTAATGAGCTATCATCTATCAATTAAAGGGTGATTTTGAAAAATCATAAAAGTAAAATTTGCATGAAACTAATGAAAATTAATTTTCTTAATCTTATGGAAATAGCTAATAGGGTCATTTAAAATGGACCAGAAGGAGCATTGAATTCAAATTTTGAATTCCAACTTGTTCAGCTCTTTAATGACATCAGTAGTGAGGATAATCTTGGAATTGTGACATTATGGAAGGCCACTCCTGCAAACGTGCTTTCTACCTAGAATATATATACTCCCTCTAGACTATAGTATAACATATCAGTAACTAGTTCACAACTCTCAAAAAAAGTTACGTTAAATATTAATTCCTTGAAATATTTTACATTTTTAAAATATATCCTCATTAAATACTCTATATGAGTTTATCAATAATAACAATTGAAATGTTAATGTATTTTTTTAAAAAAAGAGAGAGTAATAAATGAAGTAGAGGTATAATTAAAAAAATATTTATAAAAATTATCTAACATCCTATATTATGAACCAAATAAGGATTTTAGAAAATGCCCTATATTATAGTCCAAAGGGAGAATGTGAATATATATATATATATATATAAAGCAAGCCAATAGTCTCATAGCTTGAAGACATGAAAGCTCTCTTATAAATAGAAAGTCACAAGTTGGATCTCATTTATAACATTAAGGATTAAGGTTGATTTTTATCCTTGAACTTATTTTTGAGAAGTGCGAAACATCCTGTACAAATAATTGGGACAATTTTTCCCCTAAACATTTTTTTGAAAAGCAAAAATCCCCTTGTATTAATCACTCATATACTTTATCATTTTATACTGATGTGGTACATGCATGGGGCCTATGCACAATTATAAGTAGGACTCTAACCATATTCTTTGATACTAATTTACTTCTGAACTCTTTTTTGAGGAATGTTGGATGCCTTGAAATCTTGTTAAAATGAAATTTAATAAATATTATAAAAATATTAAATATTTTAATTTAATATTCATTAATTAAAATATTATTATTTATATATTCATCCAAAATTTATAAATTACATAAAATTAATATTGATTATGTTCCTTAAATATTTTAGGTCATTTGTATTTTTTTTAAATCAACTAATAGTTAGTAAATTAGATTTAGTTATACTAAAAAAAATAAGATATTATCATCTTATCAATATCTTTTTTAAAATTAGATTTAGGATTTAAATATATTATTTTATTTTTTTATAACTTTATAAATAAAGTTATAGTTTTTATTTCTATACAGATTTTGAGTATTATAGAATAAAACTCAATAATACCGGTGATATTCTCTCTCTTCTTCCTATTTTTTCTCTCCCACTCCTTTTTCTATTTTCTCTCTTACCCTTGTCCCCCCTCTTGTTCTACATCACATGGCCAGCTAAATTCTTTGCATTAATATCAATATCATATATTAAATAACCAATGGTAATATTGGTGATATAATACTTAAATAAAAATAAAAATAAAAAGTTATTGAGAAGATTAAAGCTTGGAGTAATTTTCCATAATAAGAGCTAAGATTCAAGCAAAAGTTGTTTAATTAATACATTGGAGTTAAGATTTAAACAAGGTTGTTTTTTACCAAGAATTGAGAGACCAACTTACAACCGCTTCCTTATTTTATTTTATTTTATTTCAAATTCATCTTTTACATACGAAAGTGAATTTTATTTCACTCATAACACGTGCGTAGAAACAAACACTACCAATCTCCCATATATTATAAAGTAAAGACTGTCACTGGCCTTGGATCAACTGATAATAAGTTGATCCCTCTTAATTAGAAGTTTCCAGTTCAAAGCTAGGTACATAGATAAACACTTATATTGATGCCTTAATGGTGTCACTATATGCTCTTTTGAGATCGAAGGACCTGTCCTAGATCATAACTTTACTGTACTTGGAAGACTGATTGATTGCTGGAAGAACCTGAGAAATCATCACGTCCGTTGGAATAAACCCACCGTTTGTGGCCACATCCACCAATGCTGGAAACCCCAAGAACACCTGATCGACTTGCACGGCGGTCCATTGGTTCCAAGTGGTCAAAAGATTGTTAGTGTCTCTCCATTGTAGTGACACGGAGCGTTGTTGTAGAACTGAACCCAAATATAATTGAAGAACCCCGTTTTAATTGCAGAGTCCAAGTAACAAATTTATGGGGTTATCAGACATTGCGGTGCCACTGAGAGAATCAGTTGCTGGTCAAAATTCTTCAAAGCTCTAGCAAGCATGTCCCAGTGCTGCCCATCGCTGGTCTTAATGTCGAAGTCGATGCCATCCAAAATGGCGCTGCCCAAGCGCCTTTAGTCAGAACTTTCTCTTGAGGAAGTGGTCCCCAAATATTGAGCAACTTGGCTGGCGTCATTGGCAGAGCTTAGAGAGTAGAGTCTGGAAACACCGCCGAGGGAGAGAAGCACTTTGATGCCATTGACTTGGCAAGCATTAATCTTGGAGATAAAGACGGTGCAGGTGTTGCCGTCGGGATGGCAGTGGATGCGAAGGTTAAGTTTCGGCGTTTGGCTAGCCGAAGGTTGACAAGAACACTATGTTAATGAATTGGTTGTTTTATCCTATAAAAGCATTCAAAGAACGAAAAATGTCAATCAAGGACCACTGGTTTAAATTTATATCAGTTAAGGTTTACTTGTTGTCAAAACTTGAATAGATACTTGTCAATTTGGGATAGCTTTTTATTAACAAGTATTTATTCAGGTTTTAACAATTACTTGTTACAAATTAATAACAGTCTATCGAGCTTTTTTTCATTTAGATTTTGACAATAAGTAGTCCTTAACTAACATAAATTTTCTCCAGTGATTTGTCATTGCTATTTTCCCTTCAAAGAAATTGCCCTGTTGTATCCTGAAAAGTTCAGCCTAGCCTCGACTTGACCCAATAATATTAAATCATATACTCTAGCCAATTCAAAGGACACGGAAGCAAATCATAATTTCTTTATCATAGTTGGGTCCAACAAACCAATTATGTTATGTTGTCTATATATATATATATGGATTTGGATTTGAGTCAAATCCTCAATTTGGGCTTTTAAACATTCATGCAAATCTAAATTTTATCTTAACTCCATAATTTAAATTTTTTTCTAAACTCTTGTTATTCAAATCTTTAAACATATATACCCTTGAATACTATTAATAATAATCTTTATTATTGCATTTACATAGACGTAGAATTTTGAATATATGGATTCGAAATGTGAGGCCTTAAATCTAAATTTTAAATCCAAATCTATGAAGAGAAACACTACCTTATAGAAAACCACTTGAAAATCCCACATAACTATTCTAAACATCTAAAAGTCCCACTAAATGCACAAATAGGCAATAGCTGTGAGGTTCCTGGGACTTAACCGTAAATAAGGTTGAAGTGACAATGACCTGTTTACCCTACTTGAGTTAAAGAAAAAGGGGGTGGAAGAGAGGCATTTCACACACGTCTTAACATTAGCTGAGCTCTTGTCCATCGTCTCTGGGAAAGTGAGAGCTAGATGCATAATTTTCTAGCTAAAACGTAAACACATTTGTATACATTTTTTTATCATCTAAGTAAATTCGGTGTACGTGATTGTAGTATTTCATCAAGAAAAAAAAAACAGAGTTTTGAGTTGCCAAGCTGAATTTATTTTAATTATAATTATTTAGATTAATGATTGATCCATATTTCCAACGAGTCTTATGTATATCACTTTTTTGGCATGATATCAAGAGCTGATCAATTCGGAATACATCAAAAAAGAAAGGAAGAGAAAAAAAGGGGGGGAACAGAGGGCTGAGAAAAAACCAGCAAAAAGAAGAAATAAATGAGAAGATAAGAAAAAATCTGAGACTCAAGAGAGGAACAAGCTGAAGCAAAAAGAATAAGCAGAAAATGGAGAGAAAATAATAGGAAAAATATTAGAGAAAAAAGTCTCACAAGTCACAACTAAAGTTAATAAACATTAGATTAATTAATTTGAGACTCAGTTTGTGTTTTAAAATTTAAAGGACTCACATGATAATTTTAAAAAATATTAGGTATCAAATCAATAAAAAATTAATTTAAAGGACCAAATTGATATGAGAGGTAACTAAAATTTAATAAAAAATCCTCACCATTATTAATATGAACAGTTTGACAGCCTTGAGACCTTAAGGAATATGCCCAAGTCAAGCTCAAGTGCCACGGAGCAAATAATGTCATTGGAGACTTCATAAACACAAGTCTTTCTCTACAAGAAAGATAAATGATATATTAAAAGCATGATTAATTTTTCTGTAACTATCACCATCACTCATGACTCAAGTGGTATGTTCTTATCACGTTCATTATTTTCTTCTGAGGTATTTTGAGTCGCATGTGAAATGACAAAAAAAGAAGAAGTCAAAGTCCTCTTTGCCCATCAAAACACGTCATTCCTTTCACATCAAGATCTTGTTAAAAAATTACAAATACATAAAATAATATCCATACTTTAAGGAAAACATTTTTTTCTTTTTTAATGGAAGTATTGGAAAATGTTTCGTGAATTTGTTGTTTTATTTCAAACTATTGGCATGGCTAGATTTATTTACCAGCTATATATTGCAACCTATATCTTTTCATTGATATCAATTTTTTTTTCGAACATTTTTTCTTTGAACCATTTGAATTAAAACTTTAGACTTTTTTCAAATACAATTTGTTGAGAATTCGTAGGGACAAAAAAGGTCTGTAAAAAATTAAGCCATATTAAAAATTTTCAAACGAGGTTGTGATGCATCGGCTTTCAGAATGTGAAAAGAATAGACAAAAGAACTGTAAATGTATTTATATTGACAGATTCTATTTCGTGAGGATTATAAATGCATTCACTATTGATGACTTCAAGTAATCTTATGATACGATTGGCAATGAATATATATATATATATATATATACGTATGTATAGGGTCCTGATCAACATGCATTTTCTGGATTCCCCGTATTTTTACTTTTTATTTCGTTTTATATACCTTTGCTTAATGCTACTTAATTTTTTTTATATTTTTTACATTTCACTTTTTTTTTTTTACATTTCACTTTCATCCATTATCAACAACGCATTCAAATTTTTTTGCTTGTAAAGTGTATTAATTAATTTCTAGATAAAATATTATTAGTATTTTTCAAAATTAATGAAAAAAGAAAAACAATAAAATTAAGGGGCAAATGAAGCATAATAAAATTTTTTAAAAAATAAAATTAAAATAAAAGGAAGAAAGAAAATTGAAAATTTCAAGTAAAGGTAAGGAAAACAAATTATAAATAAAAATTAAACGACCAATGTGAGACACATTATAAAATTAAAAAAATTACTTTTAATTCTTTAACTTTATGTAAGGTTTCAGTTTGGATTTTATAAAATTTAAGTCCTCCAAATCTCACCTGTAAGTTAAATAATAATCTTTGATGTCAGTCATTTTTACTTAAGAAGAAACTTAATATGTCAATATTGAAGAATGTTTTGTCAACCTTTAAAAGTTTAATGTCAGCACTTTTCATTAATAAAACTAGCTATATTAGGACTAACGGATTAAAAAAATATTTTATAAAATTAAGGATTACAATGAAACTTGTGAAATATTAAAGAACTAAAGACGTATATTTGCCGTAAATTTTTATCAACTCAAATTAACAAATTTAAGTAGAAATTAAGAAATTATAAACCAATATGGATAGTCCACTATGCAAATTAAGGATGTAATTCATGCCAAGATATGGGTTTGAATCCTCTGATGGATGTAGGATCTTTCTAATAAATAATTTATATTTTCATATGCTTAAATATAAATAAGAAATTAAAATTATATTACTTTGGAAATATGTTAATTAATTTTATTAATTATTTATTTCAGGCATATCTATCACACACGTAGGACTTGATCAATGGAAGCAGTTTCAGTGATCAACTGATCGTTAAAAAGCTAACACTCTTGAGTAGTTCTTTAGACATTATCTTTAATGGCTTTGGTAGATCCACTTTGGCCATCGTGGTACCTGTCCCAGATCATGACTTTGCCATACTTAGAAGACCCTTTGAGAGCTAGAAGAACTTGAGACGTCAGAACAGTTGTCAGAATAGACTAGCCGACGTTAGCCGGGTCTGGTGATGTCAGAATCTCCAAGAACACCTGCTTGATGACTTGCATGCTAGTCTATTGGTTCCATGCATTCACAAGATTGGTCATGTTTCCATCTGTATACTGGCATGGAGGGTTGTTAAAAAATTGAACTTGATCGCCGAGCCCAATAGAGCAATTGGGAATGTAAATTGCAGTGCAGCAGAGAGGAACAACTACTGATCCATGTCCTTTTAAAGCTTTAGCTAGATCATCCTAATGCTAGTCTGAACCTGCCACGATATCAAAAACGATGCCATCCAAAACCGTGCATCACCAAGCAGCAGTGAACTAGATTGTCGGTGGAATATGGATGAGATTCAATTAGTTTTATTTTAGATATTTAGGATTATTCAATTAAGATTGTTTGAATGAGGACATTGAATATCTAGTAGATTATTTTGGGTTTAATTAGATTTTCTTGTCTGTATTTTTTTGTGATTATTTTAGATTTTCTTTATTTCCAATAAATAGGATACCTAAATATATAAATCTAGATTATCCTTGTTGTTATCTTTTAGGATTACGTTAAAATTTCATTTATTATTATTTTAATGTTTTTATAGCTCTATCTATAATCTTAGAGTTTCTCAGTTGTATTCAAATTAGTTTTGAAGAATTTGAGTTGAATATTAAATTGTTCCCTTTATTTGAGTTTCTCTTTTCTCTCTAATTCTCTCTTTATCGGCCGAGTTGAGGGAGTGACTTCTGTGGAGGGAAAGAGAAGCACTTTAATGCTCTTATTTTGGCAAGTTTTGATGTTTGTCCTAAATTTGGTATATGTATTGGCCGTGGCGTCACAATGGCCGGCAAGGTTAAGTTTAGGAGTCTTGGCTGTTGCCAAAGTCAGACAAGCAAGCTAGGCTGACGCCTTTGTTGTTTCCGGTGTTATAGGCGTCAGCGAACAAACTTGTTTAACAGAAGCAAAGAAGGAAGAAATGAGGAGAGTTAGTAATGAAAGGGAAACTTGTTTAATAGAAGCCATGTGATTTTCCTTGTGAATCATTGAATGATCTCTGTTGTAATGAGTATGTTATGGCTCTGCTTGGTGGTTTGAGATAGGAAGTGGAGGATAAACTCATGGTGTTTGGGGTGAAGAAACATAAAAGAACGTGTTTTATAGGAAAGATTGACTTGCTAGCTAGATGGTAAAATTTCAGGAAACTATTGATTTATGACATTCAAATTAAACTAGTCTTCTGAACGCAAAAGACACAGAAGGCAATAATTTCTTACTTCTGATGATCGCATTATCTCATTAGCGACATACAAATGCAATTGTTTCTCTACATTAGAACAATGATATTATGGAATTTTGCTTTATACATAATATTTATTACTACTTTTTAGAATATAACTTGTTTCTTGTAAATAGGTTAATAAGTTTAAATCTTGCTACCATATAATGTGATGATCTTGTTAATGAGTAATCTATATAAATACCTTTATGAACACTCTTTAGGCATGGAAGTTTGCATGGCTTCTAGAAAAATAGTAAAACTACTTTCACATGGTTTTCAAAAGTCAAAACATACTTTTATGGTTTATTTGAAGTTCTCATTCTACTTTAGATCACCACCACTAGAAAATGGGTGTTTGGGTTTTAAAAAATCAACATTTTTTAGAAAAATCATACTTTGAAGCTCGGCCTTGAAAAAAGGGCTTGGGCAACTTTTTTGGGTCCCTTTTTGTTGTTTCCTTAAAAATATTAATTTTTAAATTAAATTTAAACTTAAGAATATACATCTATGTTTTAAAATTAAAATTTTTATTATTAATAATTTTTAGAATTTTATGTCATTTCAGCACAATTTTCTTGGATTTTAATACATTTTGACACATATTTTGAACATCCAAACTAGGAACAAATGTGCATCTTATATATTTGGTTTTGCACATGACTTTATATTGACAGTTTTGGGCAAAATTTCTACTATTCTTGTTGCATTTTCTAGTTCTTTATTGATTTTTTTGAAAAGTAGTCTAAAGATGAAAAAATCAGATAAAAAGGTGAATGGCTACACCAAATGGGAAAACTATAGAGAACAAACCAACTATGAAAAAAAAAATCAGGCAAAAATCAGTCAAATATTTTGTATATTTGTAGCTTTTGGATGTTTATGAATAGCTAAACACATTTGCTCTAAAGTTATATTGAATGCTTGCATGAGTTAATTAATACTAACTTTCTCCTATCTTTTTTGTGATTAATTATATGTAAGTGTTTATTTTACTAGTCTTCTCTTAATGCTTCTAAGTGATTAGCCATAATTTAGATATTTTGTTCATTTGAGTGATGCTTGAGAAGGCTAACTAGCTTGAATGTGGATCTTGGATAAAGTAGTGC